CACACACACACATTTTGAACCTCAAAGATGCCTTTAAACTTCGGGTATTTTGAGGCTCTTCCTCCTCAGTTTGTGGAGGAAGTAGAGTTGTTGTTGGGCTTAAACGACCAGTGAGGCTGTTTTCTTTGACCAAGAGAGACCTTCTGAGATGTGCACACCCAGGAACTTGGTGCTGCTTGCCCTCTCCACAGCAGCACCATTGATGGTTAGTGGAGCATACATGGTGTGAGCTCTCCTGAAGTCTACGATGATCTCCTTAGTCTTCTCCACATTCAGGGAAACCACTATTAACTCCTTTAGTAACTTAACGCCGGTAGTAGGTCTCATCGTTGTCGCTGATGTGACCTACCACAGTTGTGTTGTCTGCAAATTAGATGAAGAGGCTGTGTGATGATGTGCAGTCGTGGGTCAGCAGAGTGAAGAGAAGTGGGCTCAACACATCCTTGGGGAGCAGTGTTGGGAAGGTTACTTTTAAAATTCCACTACAGATTACAGAGTACATTGACCCAAAATGTAGTTTGTAATGTATTCTGTTAAGTTACTCAGTGTGATTATTTGATATATTCGCGTGCTATTTATCCTACTGCTCTGTGATTTATTACTATTACTGAACGTCTTTTAACAGCTGTTAGAATGTATGAACACATCACTCCAGTTACAGCAAATGTACACTGGCTCCCTGTAAAATATCGTGTTGATTTTAAGAGTACTTACTTTTAAAGTTTTAAATAATATGGCGCCTAGTTATTTAAACAAACTCCTCAGCATGTATGACCCCAAAAGAGCACTGAGATCATCTAGCCAGATGCTCTTAGCACAACCGAGGGCTCGTTTGAGATCGGGCCTTTGCAGCAGCAGCGCCCAGACTCTGGAAGAATCTGCCAGAGGAGATTCGTACTGTAGAGTCTATTCAGTCTTTTAAATTGCGTCTTAAAACTCACGTCTTTACTTTGGCTTTTAATTTGGTTCAGTATGAGTACCATCAGGCCTGTTTTATGTTTGTATTGTTAATTCACTGTCTTCTTGTTTCTCTGTGTTTCTCTGTTGTTTTCTCTTGTTTTTAGCCGATTGTGAAGCACTTCGGTCAACCCAGTTTAAATATGCGACACAAATACAATTTGAATTTAAATTTGAAGACTACTCGCCACCGAGCTACCATTGGTTAGTTCATAGACTGCAGACTGTTAGACTTGATGGACAGCATTAACAACCTGCTAGCTGCAAGTGATCACGAGCAGTTCTGAAAGTAACACCAACTAGATTTCTAAATCTTAATATAAAATGAGCAACAGTAGGGGGGACATTAGGTGAGGCTGCACTTTTTGCAGTGATCTTGTATAGAAAATTATTTCTTTATTAGTAATATGTTTTCTTTCTGTCTTCTTTCAGAGCTGCACGTGATTATTTGCAGCTAGCAGGTTGTAATGCAGCCTTCATTAATAGTAATAAACCACACAGCAATAGTACATCGAAGACACTGAAGTGTTTCTTTCGGTTGGAGTCTTTGACGCTGAGAGCAGCTCGGTTGCTGGATGTATTCCATTACCCGTATTCAGCGTTCATATGCTGGAGGTGTTGCTGCTGACCCGTACTGCCTGCTGTCTTAATAATAATAATAATAATAATAATAATAATAATAGATTCCATTTATATAGCACTTTTGAGACCCTCGAAGTGCTTTACAATTCCGCTGTTCATTCACTCTCACATTCACACACTGGTGGAGGCAGCTACAGTC